CATCAATATCAATTCCAACATGTCGGCCCCCGCCACCACAGTTTTTAAGGCTAAAGTCACCTGAACGAAATTTGCCGAACCATCGTTGACACTTACGAACGTTCAAAACATTTCCATAAACGTTTTTGTTATTCTTTGTGGTTACAGAGGCGTTGTTTCCCTTCTTGTATTCAAACAGCATTACATGCCGAACGTGTATCTCGTCGTGTGTCATCACTATAAGGGATTAGAGTATACTAAACTTTATACATTGTATAGAATACACCATGCGACATTAAATCTTCATTTAAGTTTTGTTTTTATCTTAGGTTTCTCAGTGTTGATATCAAGCACTTTCATGAACCTTGAACTAATTCAACTGCTTTACTAATAATGTCTGAAGGTTCAGCCATTACGATCCGTTTTCTTACGACCTTTGGAATATGCGAGGTCGAGGTTGAACACAGCTCCGATCTTTCAGTGATATATCGGTTGGCAACAAAAATAAATCTAGCTTGTCAGTGGTCGGTGAGATAACTGAGCTTGAAGATAAACTGTTGATTTGAATGATTCGGATATTTACAGTCTCTTTAGCATAGCATTACATAAGTAAATGTACGAACGTCTATTTCTATTATATATATTTACCAGTAGAAACTTCGAGAAAATATAAAAAAAAATCTCTATCAGTGTGCCCCTAGTGGCACATCTGCGGACTTTTACCTCTAGAAACCGGGCTTCGCTAGCCACGGTGGGTAGAGCACAGATAGCCCATTGTGTTGCTTTGTGCTTAACTACAAATATACACAAACCTGTCAATGTTGACACCGTGAGTGGTCACTCTACCGTCAACAATGGTTTCAGTTAGTTATACTTGTTAACAGAATTCTCAGAACTAAAAAAAAAACAACGAATTTATCAAATCGCACAGCAACTCTATTTGAAACTCCATATATAACAAAAGATGTTTAAACACGCTTATTGTGATTGCGTTTTCTTTAAAATATAAAACTAATTTTTTATTAGCATAAAATTACATGAACAATACTCTGAAAATTGTCTTTTGCAGTAGAAAAAAGTGTTTTATTAAACTTTAGCAACGCATATACACATACATTAACGTGCATTCATAAGAGTCGTTCTTAGCTGGCTTTACGTCTATATAAATAATTGTTGTATATTGGCCAGGGGTTTAGGGCGCTTGGCTCACAATCTGAGGGTCGAGGGTTCGAATCCCCGTCACACCAAACATGCTCGCCCTTTCAGCCGTGGAGGCGTTATGATGTGACGGTCAATTCCACTATTCGTTAGTAAAAGAGTAGCCCAAGAGTTGGCGGTGAGTGGTGATGACTAGCTGCCTTCCCTCTAGTCTTTCGCTTCAAAATTAGAAACTGCTAGCCCTCGAATAGTGTTAGGCGAAATTCAATACACACACACACACACACACGCACACACTACAAAAAACGCCAAAATATGCAAATATAAAGTATAAATAAACCAAACTGACACTGATTTCATGCAACAGTTAAGACCAGTTTGCTTCGTAAACAAAAGACTTGAATATTCTTAAGTTACATTTTCACAGAACTCGCCCACATTTATTAATTAATTGATTAATCACATCTTAACTTTTAGCATGTTCCTCTTAGGACACAAACAGCTGTGTAAACAGATCACATAAGATTAAAGCTCAAAATTAGGTGCTTAACTGTTAATTACAGGGCTTAAATAAGCATCAAATTTTGCAAAAGATAAAGTAACTTGTATATTTCCATTTTAGATATTATTTTTAATTCATAAGTGCGAGGCCCTCTAGAACTCGTTCATCTTGCTCGTGCTGTTAGCTCGGCACCACATTGAAGTCTGCACTGGAAGCCATCTGGTGATCATGTGATAAAACATTTATTACAAATTTCTGTGACGGAGTAAACATTGAATTTCATGCGTGGCTGAACGAATTAGCACTGAATTTTACTGTTCAACTTGTAGGTTTAAATAAAAAAATAACAACAACAGAGCGGATGTCTACAACCCAAAGCTACACAATGGGCTATCTGTGCTCTGGATAATCGAACCCCGGATTTTACTGTTTTAAGTCAGTAAACTTACCGCTAGCTCACGGGAGAATATATTCGTGCACAGCTCTATAAAGATTATCTGTATTACTGTCCCTAAGTTTGAACTGATAAACTAGAGGGAAAGCAGGTAATCAATAACACTCACCGCCAACTGCTGGGCTACTCTATTCGAATAGTGAATTTCGCTGTAACTTTTATATAGTATCCACGGTCTCAAAGTAAAGAGCGGGATTCGATCCATGGCCTCTCAGATTCGCAGTCCAGCACGATAAACATTGGGCCACGCTTGGCCTCAAATTTTTTTACAAATTTAACAAAACCAGATGACAGATTAAAAACAGTGCTTACTTCGTATTATAAAGCAACATGCGTTGTTTTTACCTTATTATAAAGTTGTGATCGGACTGAGAATACACGGATCCAAGGTTCGCGTCCCATCGTAAAAAACATCGCACTTTATGACTTTAGATTATAAGAGTGACGACGAAGTCCCGCTATTCGATTAAAGTAGCTCAAGAGTTGGCAGTGTGTATTGTTGATATATCTGCCCTCTCTCTAGTCTATCAGCCCAAAATTAGGGGCAACTAGCGGGGATAGTCTTAACCTTGTGTACCTTTTCACGAATATCCGAAACAATCTTTCATCATTTCCAAATCTTCAGTCACGAGAGAAAAACCTGCAATTTGTTTTTTTTTTAATACAAAAAAAAATTCTTCTAAAAGTATTTCACAACATCACAAAACTAACGGTTTTAAATCACGTTTCAACAAAAACTACACGAGACGAGTCACCGAAGGCTCAGATTACAGCACTCAGCTGAAGACTCTTGCTTAAAAACTACACTCATATCAAATATCTACAGGACGTTCCAAAAATAACTTCCCTATTACAAACCTTATAAAAAAACCATTATTGGTAATCGTAAAACACCGAAACTTGTATATCTACAATTTGTCTATAGAGTTTATGACAATATCAAAATTAATTACTAATTATGACTAATTAATTACACACAGTTATAAAATATTAAAACACGAAAAATGTTATAGCTCTGGTACTAATATAAATGTGCGTATTAAACATAGTATATAACATGTGCCAGTCCTCCGATGGTCCAGCGGTAAGTTAGTGGACTTACGACTCTAAAATCCGGGGTTCGATTCTCCAGATAGCCCATTGTTTAGCTTTACGCTAAATTCAATCATCAACAACATGGAATGTTTGTTTGTAGTTAAACACAGAGCTATACAATGGGCTATCTGTGCTGTGCCCACCACGGGTATCGAAACCCGGTTTCTAGCGTTATAAGTCCGCAGACATACCGCTGTGCCACTGGGGAGCACATGGATGTTGACGATCATCAAAGGAAGCCAAGTTAACCATTCATAACGAAAAACTATCATGTTAATAAACAATCAGTTGGTAATTCATTAAGAAAACTTTACGTATGAAATTACTGTTAACATTGCCATAAGCCCATAGTTAAATTGGTACGTATATAAAGTTTCGGTTATTTACGATTATCAAAAACTATTTTATTAAAGTTCAAAATGGGAAAGTTATTTTTGGAACGTCCTTGTACTTCCGAATCATATTGTAAAGTCCAGTAAGTTTTACCTGCACTATGAGTCCTGTAGTATACACATTTCCAAAACTTCCATTTCGCTGTTGTCGCTTTTTAAAGCTCTTCAAAGCCTCGTAAATGTGGTTTTCAAGAAACGCGTATGCTTCGTGTTTTCCAACACACGATAAAGCCATCACCGCTACTGCTTGCGTATCTATTGAATTAAAAATTAAAACATTGTGGTTTACTTTTAACGCTAAACTTAACTACAGTTCACAAAAAAATGAAACTGATCTCATAAAGATGTTTACAGTTTAAAACCTTTATGAAGATATCCTAAAATTTCTCGTAAAACCCTAAGATGCACACACACAACGATGAAGAATAAGTTAAAAAATTCTTAACCCTAACAACTATTTTTATGCAAATGAAGTTACTCTAGTCTCTTGTTGTTTTTTTTATTTTTTACCTTAAGCCTAACAGTAAAATGTAAGCTACTATGAGGAATAACCGTTCCAAATACCTGCCCAAAAATGGAAATCTGTAGTTGATCGCAGTTGATTCAAAAGGTGGATAATTCTTTTCTTCGCCAGGCGTTTCCTAGCGTTGCAAAGAGATAAAGAAACCAACGCGTATTCGAACTCGGAATCTGTAGACTGGAAGTGCCTGAGCCTTTTTGTTAGATCGATGTCAAAAAAGTTCTTAGGGTTCCCACAGGTGGCCAAGATTCCATTTACGTACAGGGCTAATTGGCCTGCTGTCAATGTCCTCCTGTGGGACCTAATGGAAACTAACATAATCAACGTGGAATTGAATAAAATAAGATTCTACAATTACCATATAATAGTTTGTCCATGTCTCAATAGGAGGAGGACCTTTATATATATATATATACAGTTAACTGAAAACAAAGTAATTGAATATACACTGAGTAATCACAAATGGAACGTTTACAGTAACCTTAAGTTTATAGTTTATCAGATCGTGATTTCTGAGCACATCACCCGAGTTTATAACATATAATTTAAGGACAGTAAGAGACTTATTAGTCTATCTAAGTCGTCCCATCCACAAAGCTAAACTTTAAAATAAAAATAAAACACTCAAAGACAGTTCTTATCAATCAAATATTTATCAAGCCTTCTTTTAAAGTTCCTTATACTAACAGTAACCACAACATCTGAAGTCAACCTATTCAAAAAGCCAACCACCCTGTAAGAAAAAATAAGGCTGTCTTAGCTGGAAATCTCCTCCTGCAAGACCCAAAAGATTTGGTTAAGAAACTGATACAGTAAACACACCGAATTCAATATGATACGATTCTACAGATTTGAATACGTAGCCAATTTTTTTCACGTAAATGTAGTGAAATTGCGCCATCTACAGGAATTATAATAAGCGATTCTAATCCGTGAGTGATTAGTTTGTTTGAAGTTAAACACAAAACAATACAATGGGCTATCTGTGCTCTTCCCACCACGGGTATCGAAACCCGGATTCTAGCACTGTAAGTCCGCAGACATACCCCTGCCCCACT